ATCTTATTTTTCCTTCCATTCTCCTACGGTCTTCTGTTAAGTTTCACAAATTCCACATATGAGCGAAATCATATGATATCATTCTCTGACTGACTTATTTCACTTAGCACAATACACTCCAGTTCCATCCATGTTGTTGCAAATGGCAAAATTTCATTCTTTTTCATTGCCAAGTAGTATTCCATTGTGTATATAAATATAAATATATAATATATACCACATCTTCTTTATCCATTCATCAGTTGATGGACATTGGAGCTCTTTTCATAATTTTGCTATTGTAGATAGCACTGCTATAAACATTGGGGTACATGTGCCTCTATGAATCAGCACTCCTGTATCCTTTGGATAAATTCCTAGTAGTGCTAGGGTCATAGGGTAATTTGATTTTTAATTTTTTGAGGAACCTCCATACTGTTTTCCAGAGTTACTGCACCAGGATTTTCTTAACTCTATATCCATATCTCCTTAAAGTATGCTGCAGGGAAGAAATAATTAAATGGAAATAGATTTTTTAATAACAATTTTATCTTTTAGATATTAACCAACTAGCATAAACACAATATCTACATACTACTTAGTTTATTTAACCTCCCAACATATCACCACTGTTCAGTGAGAAAAAAATGTAGTTGAAGACTTACAGCCCGCCAAGAAGCTGAATTTTCAATTTCTAAGTAAAGGTTTTGGTTAGTAGACTAAAGTTGTTTTGTTGTTATTGTTAATAAATATGTTTCTTTGTTCCAAAGTGTAAAAATTATTCATATGTGTTATATTTGCTTCTATAACAAATTATCCAAGAGGCCTGTGATTTCATCGAAAGTGTTCTTGTTCCTTTATTTTTCTAAGCATTTTTTTCCTTCTCTTTCCATAGGCATGTTCATATTTCACATCTAATGCTTTGCCACTGAAGATTACTTTCATCAATGCTAACCCAATGGGCAAAAACATCAGCGTCATTTTTAAGGTACAGTAGCCCTCCTGAAACATCAAATTGATTTCACAGGTAGAATTATTGATTTATTTCTCACAAAAAGAAATGATTATAGCTATTTTCCACTGGCAACAACACAGAGGATTCCAGTTATTTTTATTCTGCATTTTTACAGAATTATAGTACATGTCAAACTTTGATTGATAATAAATAAATCGTTATTGTCTCAAGCTAGTGAACCTTCAGTGCAAAACTTAAGAGGAGATGTTTCAATGAATAAAATTATACAATCACTTTTGAGTAGCACAGAATGTGGAATGTTTGGTTAGCCCTTAGTGGAAGAGTTTTCTTTTGGTTTATATACTAAATTAGAATCAATATTAGCTGAAACTCAAATGATATGTTAATTTAACATAAAATTCTTACCTGCAAGAACTTGCTTATTTTAATAATTTGAGTTATTTTCTTCTTTTTAAATAAATATGGGCCAAATCAGTCTTTATCGTGAATCCCATGAGAAAAGAGTAAAAGGTAGTAACAGAATTAAAGACAGGTAGGAAAGAGGGACTGAAGAAGAAACTGTAGTGGAACAGTAAGAATTTACATTCATTCACTTAATTTAATCAATTATTCAGCCAAACCAGACAACCAGCTCTCAGAGTGAATTATTTGGTGGATTTTGACTATTTTTGAGGGTAATTTTTAGCACACCCTACTTTGGCTTTGATCTGTGTCACCTCAAGCATTAATGGTCACATGACACTGCATTTTTGGTGAAGAAAAAAAATAACAAAATTTCATCTTGGAATATTTTTCTGCATATTATTTAGAAAGCATTTTCAAATCCAAACCTGTTAGTTTAAAAGCATAAAACTATCCTCCTTCCCCTTTGGACATATTCCATTTCCTTCACTTATGCTAGAAAATCATCTCTTAATCATTTCTTCTTATTATCAAAGGCTGTTTACTCTGCAAACTTTTTAACCACCTTCATAATATGAGAAGTCAATGACTTAAAGTCTAATGAATCCTGTGTGTGCTATTTATACTCCTAGTCAAGAAGCTCTTGGTATTCTAACTGTATATCAGTATATACATTTATGGCATACGAAATAGTGTTTCAGTTCGAAAGAAATCTCTCTTCGTTGAGTTTGAAATTTGGTTTGAAATTTCAATAAACATTCATTGAGTCTCTCTTCTCTAGACTTTAAGTCTAAGACATTGCACGTGGATGATAAATTGAAAGATTATTATCAGGAACAGCATTCCAAGCAACTTCTAACTTGATGGCTGAAGCTTCTGTAATCATTTAAAGGAAAGTTCTTATTTTCTTTGATCTTCTCTCAGAAACACAAGATGTTCTTAGTACTAATAAAACAATTGAAACCATCCTAAGTCTGGCTAGAAATTTATTTGAGGAAAGAAATGACATATACCATATTTGAAGGCCTTTAATGGAATTCAAGGAGAAATCCAGTCTATAATTTTGTTTTTAACAGGCTGGCGATGATCTCCGTCAGGATATGCTTGTTCTGCAGATTATTCAAGTGATGGACAATATTTGGCTGCAGGAGGGCTTGGATATGCAAATGATCATTTATAGATGTCTATCCACAGGAAAAGGTCAAGGTCAGTATAGATTAGAAAGTGATTTGACTTACATTATTTATCTCAAACATTCACTGGTAGCATGACACCAAACTTTCACAGCCTTCATTTTACACTATAAATTTTAAAATCAAAAGAACTATATACAAAGTCATTCTTCTTTCTTAAAAAGAATTATTTTCAAAATAGTTTACATGGAATGTAATGTCTTTGATGATAGTAATTAAGATTTTCACATTCCAGATGTTAACTGTGGTATCTTTTCCTGTATCTTTTGTGTGTTTTTTTTCTCTTAAAGATAATAATAGAAAAACCTACTTGTTCAAAAAAATTCAATTGCTGCCTATTAACACAAAATTCACAAAGTCGCAAATGCTTAAAGGAGTTCTGAACATTCTAAATACCTTATATATCTGCATTTAATTTCTAAAAGATGTTTGAGTAAATCATAATATCAATAGTCAAAGATGACCAAATATGCAAACTTTGAACATTCCAATATATTATTATAGAAATGTAATATAAAATATAGAAATATAATTACATTTATACACATTTTCAATGAAAATAATGTCAATGGTCCACCCAATTATTAGCAAAACATCACAGGTAAAAGTTGTACTTAATTACAATAGTGCTAAATTGAAGAAATAATTCCTAAGATACCTTATAATCTTTTTAAAATGTGGTCATCACTACTTAGAATTTCATTAAATTAATTGGTAGAAATTATAGCAGATACATTTACATAAACAAAGGGATAAAAAAAAATCATAGAACCAGAGACAGAACCTAGAACCACGTAGTTTGTTTCTTTTGGTCTGTTGTGGGTTTTTGTATTGTTTTGTTTTGTTTTATTAAGAAAGAGCTACAATTTAAACCTAACAGAAAACTATCACTGTCTGATTCCCCCAGTTCCTGAGGTTCCACCACTAGGCTCAGTACCCCAGACAACCATGACTTGAGACTTTAGAAACTAAGTACGGAAGCACCTCCACTTTAGTTTAACTTGCAACCTGATCCTTCAGGATAACTCTGTTACAAGTTACACTACCCAATTATTTTGATTCTGATAATAGGGCTTTTGCTTTCAGGACAAGTGTCTACCCCTTTACCCTTTCTAAAGCTCTATTTCCTAAGAGTCTTTATCATCGCTGCTCTGAGATTGTTATTCCTTGAGTTTTACTCTCCCTTTTTTTACATGGGTAACTGAACTTTTTCAAATTCTAATGTATTGAAAGAGTAAGAATAAAGCTAGATGAACCAAGCTGAACTTTTTGATGTCATAAGGATCACCTTTTCTTCAGAAATTGAATACATCACTGACTTCAGTGGAATTCTTTTTTTTTTTTTTTTTTAAGATTTGTTTAAGTTTATTTATTTAGAGAGAGGGAGAGTGCACGTGTGCAAGCAAGGGAGGGGCAGAGAGAGAGGCAGGGAGAGAGAATCTCAAGCAGGCTCTGTGGAGTCAGTAGGAAGCCTGACACTGAGACTCAAACTGTGAGATCTAACTGTGAGATCATGACCTGGGCTGAAACCAAGAGTTGGGCACTTAACTGACTGAGCCACCCAGATGCCCCCTCTGTGGAATTCTTCAATTCCATCTACTCATTTCTTTGTTTATAACTATAGAATATAACAGAGGCTAAATCTTTTAAAGTTAATAAAAAGGCTCATTAAATATGAATGTAGACTTGTCCACAGTTGCAGATGTTGTAAAACAAACAAGCTATTATTCTCTCGTGTCTATCAACAATCTTCTATAGTTGTAAGATTTGAGAGGGCATTATACTGGCAAAATACTTCTTCAAGAAAAATAGAGATCTTTAAGGCAAATGTCATTTTTAGGAGCTCAGGTTCCATTTTTATTATGCTTCCAAGGGTTATTGAATATCTATTATTTTGAAAAAATATCACAGAGTAAGGTAAAGTATACTAAAATGAGCTAAACAGAGTTGCTGCCCTTAAGGAGAGTATATTCCAGGCCAGAAGTTTGCATGACTTTATCAACATGATTGTTGATTATAATTCACACGACTATTTTGTACATGATGTCCAGGAGATTTAAGAGAGCCTATCAAGACAAAAAATTCTTTAGGATTTATTTTATTTATTTAGTTATTTATCTTTTTAAAAAATATATTGTCAAACTGGCTTCCAAACAACACCCAGTGCTCATCCCAACAAGTGCCCTCCTCAATGCCCATCACCCACTTTCCCCTCCCTCCCACCCCCCCATCAACCCTCAGTTTATTCTCAGTTTTTAAGAGTCTCTTATGGTTTGCCTCCCTGCCTCTCTGTTTGTAACTTTTTTTCCCCTTCCCTTCCCCCATGGTCTTCTGTTAAGTTTCTCAAGATCCACATATGAATGAAAACATATGGTGTCTGTCTTTCTCTGACTGACTTATTTCACTTAGCATAATACCCTCTAGTTCCATCCATGTTGGTGCAAATGGCAGAAAAATGTGGAAGCTTCATGAATTTGCGTGTCATCCTTGCGCAGGGGTCGTGCTGATCTTCTCTGTATTGTTCCAATTTTACTACATGTGCTGCTGAAGGGAGCAC